GCCCGGAAGTGGGTTTATTGTGTACAAAACCCGGAGGAGCTGTCTCGGGTGGCCGTTGCCTCGCTATCCGGCTAACATCCTAACACTCATGAACTCTTTGTACTTCAAATAAACAAAGGGGGATAATATTCGGTTTATAATGGGTGAAATAGGCTAACTAAAGTGTATATAAGGAAAATTACATGTGAATAGAGGGAGAAAAAAGATGGCGGCTATTGATTGCTTTAGAAGTGTACCTCTTTTATATATTTATATTCTGCATGGCGGCGGGACAAGAACACATGGCTGCGAGCGATTCACTTTTAGGTTTGAATTTATTAAATCGAAAGGATAAACAATTAAATTTCGGTTAAAACGAAATCATATATGTCGTACTCAGATTTAGTCCACTTGTACTTCAATTTCAAGTCTTTCATCCGTTTTGGTCAAACGGAATCTATAGGCGCTGGAGAGGTTGATCGAGACAGCTTACCCGTTATCCGGTTCGTTTATTTTGCTAGAGCGCTTGACCACGATGATTTCAGTGGTATCATAATTAATGAAATGGACATTTGAAAAAAATGTCTGAAATTTTCAATAAAGTTTGTGGCACATGCCTCCTTCCGGGATGGTTACCATGGATTTGCATAAATACGAGCAACTTTATTGAGTGCAATGCTGGATAATCAAGTCATTGTGCTATTTAAAAAAACTGCATCTGTCAAAAATAATTAAAGTGCATGTCTTATCAACGCATACGCCTGAATTCTCTCTACGGTAGACACCATATTAAACTGCACATCAAGTAGTTGAGCCTCTTCTCTTGTATGCATTTTCCCTCCACGGCGTAGCGAGAAGTGGAATCGTAGAACGATGGTGTATGTCTTCAAAAATTATTGCCCGATTGTGTATAAATTCTGAATTTTTTAACATTACACCGAACTAATTTTCGGTTTATTTCTATTTATTCGGTTAGATAAATAGGCAATGGAGATTTGAACCATATTGTTTACATGTTGATGCATCATATTCACATGTGCAAACACTTCTAAAAAGGAGTAACATAAAAATATTATTCATAAAATGCAAGTAGCGTCGATTGTGCAGATAACTACTTGGAGTTTACGTGGTAATCGTATGGGTTCAGACTGTCGGGTGCAAAAAAGAGCACACATAATTATTCGAGTATTGTTTTGGTAAGCCGTGCGCAGCGCAAAAAGGCTAATTTACTTTGTTGTTTAAGGTCATTCACAGCCCAGGAAAAAATGAAATCTTTTAGCAGCAAATACGCCCGAGAACTCTCCGCAGTGGAAATCGTATTGAACTGCGCATGAAGGGTTCGAAGTCTTTCTCTTGTATGCATTTTTTCCTCGCTGTGTAGCGATAGGTGAAATGGTGTAGACGATACAACGATGCCATGTGTCTTCACAGATTATTGGAAGAATTTTTGCTGCTATTGCGTCATACTCACATGTGCAAACACTCTCAAACATGGTTTACATTAAAATAGCATTCACAAATTATAAATAGCGTCGTTTGTGCAAATAACTACTTGGAGTTTACGTGGTACTAATTCAGGTCCAGAATGTCGGGCGTAAAAAAGAGCACATATACTTATTCGAGTATTTTTTGGTAAGCTGTGCGAACGTCATCTCTAAAATTAATTGCGGGAGATATCTCAGTTACTCTACTACCCGTTGTGTGAAGACTACAGAGCACAGAATTTGTGCACGGAACCCCATGTTCTGCGCCCAGCTGCTGTGCATGCAAACATGCCCTCCCTACTACTACGTTCCAATGTATACATTCCTATTGATGTCTCATTTGTTTTCGGAGTCGTAGACATCCTGCTATTTATCGTCTGATTTCATTTAAGGAATGCGTGTGGAACCCTTGCTATCGTTCTCACAGGAGCCTTTTTAATGCTTGTTCAGTTCCATTTTAGGCGCTTGTTTGGTTCGAGCCTTCTCCTTAATAGAAAACTAACATACGCTAAACACGTGCTTCTATAAAAAACTGCGTATGCGGAAGGATAATTTTAGGCAGGCTTGTTAGGTAGGATTGGTAATTAAAATGAATACTATTGTTACTATACGTGCTACATATGAAATCATGTCTTATCGGAGGTGAGTGTTACAGGTAGCCTGATGTATGCGTATTCAAAATACGACATCCCAGACTGACTGCAGTATCTTAGGATTATGCTGCAAGATCATTAATATAAAAAGTCAATCAAGCTCACATTTAAAAGCTTCAACTTTCTTTTACTGAGAGTCATTCATAAGAGGTAACTAGATGGACGGTCTAGGTGAGTGGCTTTCACTGATCTGGTATGATCACTGTGCCACTTACGCAGGACCGACTTACCTAAAGAAAAGTGTCAGGTTTTTCCTACCTGGAACTAAGGCAGAGCTGGCTAATGATGGCAAATAAGCCAGAGCCCGCTATTCTACGCTGCGTTGTGTTTGTCGATGAGAAGTTGTGACTATTCATAAAACCTAACCAACCGACCACCCGTGATGGATCTGCAAAATGTTGACCAGATTTCCCTGTCCAGTTAACTGACTGTCTCGAACACTAGCTCGGACCTGAAAATGAAAATGGAGATTCAGATCGAAAACGCAGCACATCTCCTGAAGTATAGACCACCTGATAGGCTAAAAGCTATAACAGTGCGCCAAAAGCTGTGGCTTGGAAGGTTGTCAACTCAGAAGAAGGAGATGTGACCACTGGAACAAAAGTTTTATTGTCCTGAAGTTTCGGATTCCGTCGGTAATCCTTAATCATAGGTAAGGATACAAGGCTCTGAGTCATGCGCAGATAGGGGTGAAACATACACAGATTGCTCGGCATTTATAGTTCATAGCGGTCATCCGCGTGCGTTCTGTAATTTTTCACTTTTGTAGCCACCGCTAACGTCTTAATTGGTGCGGAGATGGCTTGACACTTCGTGCTCGACTAATTAATTGCCACGATTTCCTTGTCCATGCCAAATGCGGGCTTGATAATTGCGCGACAATTATGTTCACTGTCTTCAGAGTTGTTGTTGGCCCCGTCCCTTCCCACGTGACTGATTCTCTTGCTCAGACAATGTCTCAGTACGCAATATGGGAACGCCAAATCGTTGCGCTTGTTGATGGACTGGGGGTCTAAGAACCATGATTCGAGCGGCTCGCGGCTCACGCGGTTGTCACCTCTTGCAAGGATTTCGAATTCGTCAAACTTGAAAATATGGCTGGGTCCCGTCGAATGAGGCTGTCAACTGGTGGGGATAGCCCGCTCCGCGCAGTCAGCCTAGTGTGTGCTCTTGTCGACTCTCTTTATAATCCAATACATGCGCAATCCACCGTCTCCGCCCTACCGCTGTGATGCACACTCGAAACCTTGTGATGAACGACGGACGAACCGTCACTGCCAAGAGGCGGTGAGATCACCTGTATGTCGGGAATGCTGTCCTAAGTTACCAGCTGAACATATCAGTCATCGGTGTGCTACGATTTAAAAAAATATTTATACTTACTTACCTGTATCGGTTGTTTCGAGTTAACGGATATCCAACCAGTTCCGTAAATAACTGTCTTAGGCGTCAAACAAAACCGCAAACCCCCAACTCTAACGGAGAAATGACGACGCGAAAATTCTACGCCCTTCCTTATAAGCAGGGAACTTCCGAAGTAATCGCCAGACAGTTACCTCCCTTTTATATCCATATCGAGCACAAACCAGCATCAACATTGCACGCAGCGCCATCACGTATAAAGGATCCTATAACAAAGGAACAACGATCAAACGTAATTTATCGCATGCCGTGCGCAGATTGTTCTTACGCATATGTTGGTCACACAGGTCGACTCCTGGGTACCCGTATCAAGGAACATAAATAATCTCTCCGTCGCAAGGTCCC